CCAAACCCTGATATCCTAACTCTCACAACTCCCCTCTGCAGCTTTGAAACACAATGCCCAGGATTCTTATTAAAAATTCTTAAAAACTGTATTCACTGTTGAAAAGATTTTATCACTGGTATTCAAGAGCATACTACATTTACTTTGTTGATACTGGGTTCAAACCTGAAAATTTTATTTCTTTAATATGGTAATGTCTGATTTAAGCATACATGATTCTTAATCTCCTCAATCCATTTTCCTCTGCATTGATGGCAGTGTTTTATTTAATCAATTGTTTAACAACTGAAATACGATAGACTTTATTGATTGATCCTTCCTTGATCAATCTCGAATTGCACCATACGTCCTACATCTCACGGATGGAATAGTTTTGTGGTACAGATTCGTGTTTTTGTAAGTTCATGTGATTTTTGGAAACCCTTGTGATGTTAACATTCAGTCAGTTTTCTTTGCCTTCTTGTTTGCTTAGCCGGTCTGTATGTGGGATCCGAACCCTCGGACGGGAGCGCCGCCGCGCTTCCCGAGTGGCGCACTATCCAGTGCACCACCGGGCTGGCCCCTAACTTTTTCTTTTTTTTAAGTGATTTGTATATCTTATATTTATCCATAACTATAGGGATACTGTAATTGACTTTGGACAAATAATATAGTTTAAGCTGTTTCACCCAGTGTGCTTTATCAAATGCCTTTTTTTTTGGACTGGTAAGGGGATCGTAACGCTCGGCAGAGTGTGGTGTGCACCACGCTCAGCCAGTGAGTGAACCGGCCATCTCTATATAGGATCCGAACCCGCGGCCTCAGCGCTACCAACGCCGCACTCTACCGAGTGAGCCATGGGGCTGGCCCTCAAATGCCTTTTAAACAGAACTATTAACACTGATAATTGACGTATAGAATAATTACTTTTATGCACTACAGAATCCTGAAGAACTTTGTGATCTATTAACCAAATGCTTAAATATTCCCTGTTGTAGTATTGAGTGGACCTTTTAAAAAATGTCTTTTTTAACGTCATTGAAAGTTAGTTTTTTCATGTGTAACACTTAATCAAAGTACAAGTTTATTCCCAGATATGCTTTCCTTTCTTTGCTTAACACATGGAACAGAATTTGCTACTACTTACCTGGTAGGATTATTGGCAGTATAAATGATTTGTTCAATGACAACCAATTGGTAGTATAAATGATTTGTTCAAGGACAACCAGTGTGTCATTGTAGAGATAAAACAGAAGTAGGCTGCATTCCATCAGCTCCTGGCCTGTACAACAATTTTAAGAACTTTCCAATTATTTTAGGAAAACAAGGTTCTTAGAAATTTATAAATAGTTTTTTTAATAAAAGAAAACCACTTATTTTGGAAATCACGAAATTAATCATTCTGTCATATTTAAGAAGTGCTTTGATGTGTTTTGGTAATTAGTGTTTACTGCCAGACGAATGTCTCTTGGGCATTTTAATTAATGGGTGGCTTGGGTAAATGAGCTTCTGATGGTAAACCTTCATAAGGGTTTATTTTTATGTTTCTCAAGAATAGCTGTCTCTTCAAAGCTCTTTAATTAGACAAAGTTTAGCAACTAAAACATATTATTAGAATAATTAGGCCTTGGGTTAAGAGAAATAGGGGGTCAAAGGAGCAGGTACAGTTAGAGAATGGTCTCTTAAAATAAAACATAGCGTTCTACATCTGATGGATATCCAGTTCTTTAACAGCTTATGTTGTGTTACTATCCTTAGTTAGGGACTTCGTGTTGTTTAAAGTTTGCATGACAGATCTCACCAGAAGCCTAAACACAGCAGATTGTAAGCTCATTTATCACCTCCGCTAAACTCCCATAGAGAGCTGTATTCTAGTCCTTTTAACTTCTAAGCTGAAGGCTTCTTATTTTCTCCTTTTTCTATTAAATTGCTAATCTTGGCTATAACAGTGATTGTTTTTGAGAGAAATGCTTCAAAGATCTTGTACTTGGTAAGCAAAAATTATAACAATTCCTTTGAGGGGTCTTTCTTAATAATTTAATTTATCTACTTATAAGACATGTTCTTAAAGTTACTATAGTATTTACACTCCAGAATTTTATGTTCTTTTTGGCCAGAATGTAGTTTGAATTATGTCAAAGTTTGCTGTGTGGATGGATTGTCATCTAGCTCCTTTTCTTCTGCCTTCTCCCTCATTTCTTGCTCCAAGCTCTAAGTCTTGGCAGTCATTACTAGTAAATGTACTTTACCCTGAACTTCCTTTTTGTGATGAAGACAAGATATATCTGACTGTCCCATGGGTGAGTGAGATGTCACCAAAACAAATGGGTGGTATTACCAAAACTACTATTGGTAAACAAAAACAATTCATTTATCTATAGTCTAATTTTTCACTCTCTTACTGTCTCAGAATGTTTATGATGGCAACTAGACTAGTTGATTAAAGGACAGTGCTGATGAGATATTAGAAATTTCAAACAGGGGCCGGCCCGGTGGCGCACTGGATAGTGCGCCGCTTGGGAAGCGCGGCGGCGCTCCCGTCCGAGGGTTCGGATCCCGCATACAGACCGGTTCCCGCTCACTGGCTGAGCGAGGCACGGGAGCAACACTGAGGGTTGTGATCCCGTTGCCGGTCCCCGGTCCGGTACAGGGGCGACACTGAGGGTTGCGATCCGTTGCCGGACACGGAAAAAGACAAAAGACAAAAAAAAAAAAAAAAAGAAATTTCAAACAGAATAGACTCGATCATGGCTAACATTTATAATCTCATTAGCTGTCAAGACCTATATGTGTTGTTAGTTTGATGAAGAACTTGGTCAACAATATGTATGTGATTGGTTCAATATAAACCTACTGCCATTATTGGAAAGTACTTGAAGAACTTACTAGAAGGATTGTGGGCCAGTCACTTTTTTTTTTTTTTGATGGTTCACCAGTACGGGGATCCAACCCTGGACCTTGGTGTTACCAGCACCATACTGTAATTAGCTGAGCTAACTGGCTAGCCAGTCAAGTAGAGGATAGCTAATTTACAGTATTACAGAGTTTATCACATGTAGATTCTTTTGATTCTTTTGCTATACAAGTACCTTAGTTTACAACACTGCAATGAAATGATTTCATTTAAATTGGTAGAAACTTCACTTGGTTTTCTATTGATGTTGTCTGTAAAAATTAATAACATAGTTTTTGATTAGCCCAATAAATGCAGATATAAATATGTAGGCATATTGCTATGCATTCCAGATCATAGCGACCAAATAAGTGCATTTTTAAGTCAAATTATAGAACTTTGAGAAAGCAGAAGAGATATTAGTCTAAAAAGAATCCTGTATAAAACAGTTTTCCCCCCTTAGCAAAGACTAATTTCTGTCTACTCTTTCCTAAAGAGATTGATTACTGGGACTCTGCTTTTTGATCACCCTTTAACACAGGAAATATTTCTGATACTTATCTTCATGTAGGTATTTGCTTATGTATATGTAATCTTTTGCAATGGGGCTATGAAAAGGAAGATGTTAAGTGTTATGGTCCTTAAAAAATACCATTAAAACTCTTAGAACTCTTTTTTTCTTCTGGTAGTGCAACTGTATTCTTATGTATACTTATGCATAACAGGATTTATATAAGATAAGCATTTCTCTTATCCAAAATGCTTAGGACCAGAAATGTTTTGGACTTGGGATTTTGAAGTACAGTCACGTGCCAGATAATGACATTTTGGTTAACGGCAGACCAAATATACAATGGGGGTCCCATTAGATTATAATGGAGCTAAAAATGTCTATTGCCTACTGACACTGTAGCTGTCATAATGCCATAGTGCAAGACATTATTCACATAGGAGCAATAGGCTATACCACATAGCCTAGGTATATAGTAGGCTATACCATGTGGGTTTGTTAAGTACACTCTGTGATGTACACACAACGACAAAATCACCTAATGACACATTTCTCAGAATGTATCCCCGTTGTTGTGACACATAACTGTATTTGCATTACACCCAGTTGAGCATCCCAAATCCAAAATCTGAAATGCTCCAAAATCCAATATATTTTGAGTGCCAGTATGATCTCAAAGATAATGTTCATTGGAGCATTTTGGATTTTGGATTTGCAGATTCGGAGTGCTCAACCTGTACTTAACATAGTTTGGATACTTATTTCTAATGCATTTTTTATAAACTAGGACTGTAAGTGTGTTGTTCTTTTGGTTGTTTTACTTCTTTAACTCTTTCACTTGGTAGGATCCCTTTGCATCCCTTAAGTCTATCTTTTGAAATATACCAACGTCCAGAATGAGAATTAACTGTGTTCTTCTTCAACACAGACCACCTGGTGGCCCATGGTAGAATGGCAGAAAAGGAGGCCCGTCGGAAGTTCAAACAGATCGTCACAGCCGTCTATTTTTGTCACTGTCGGAACATTGTTCATCGTGATTTAAAAGCTGAAAATTTGCTTCTGGATGCCAATCTGAATATCAAAATAGCAGGTGAGAAGTGTGCTGAAGATGTGAAATAGGGACAAAGGAGTTTTTCCTTAAGGGTTCTTAAAGCAGGGGATTGTCTATATCCATCTATTCAGAAAGGAATACTGTGAAAGTAAGGAAAATTTAGGATTTTTTTAATAGCTTGAAAATTGATCAACTTTCGAAATACATTTATTTTTTATGTCGTATTAGCTGGAACTAGGCTAGGGAGAAAGAAGGGAAAGGATGATATTTAAAATGCTATTACTTTGGCTGAAAAATTCCTTCTAAATAATAAGGAATAAGATATAGAATAAAATGGAAAGGAAAACTGCTACAATTGTATACCTTCTCAGCCTAACTTGAGAAGAGTGACTTCTGTCACTGCTGACATTGAGCATACTTACTCTAATGCTGTAGTTCTATGATAATTTAGTAAGAATAGATCTTAAGAGTGGCTTACAGGCGGTCCAGCTTTTTTTCTCCTCAAATTTCACTAGTCTGCTCATCTGACTGCATAAAAATCACTTTTCACTGCCTCAAATCTGCTCAGGCTTCAGTTTTAGTAAATTATCAGCATTTTGCCTAATGAATGCAAACTCACCACCTATTGATAGAAGAAAGTGACTGCAGTTTATATAGAAAGTATAAATATGAAAACAAGCCATTTTGTCATCTGACAGTTTCCAGTATCGCATTGGGTGTCTCCCATCTCCCAGATAAAAGGGAGGGCATCTCATATAGAAAACTGAATGTAGCTAGAATATAATTGCCTTGGAAAGCCAAGGTAAAAAGCAGTTCTAAAGATTTCCCTCCTTAGTAGGGTGGGAGTTAAGTTCAAATTCGTATCGTGTTATAGGTCAAAGTCCTAAGTGCACCCTTGCAGTCTGGTGATTCTTCTGACAGTTTCTTTTGTGTAGATAAGCTTTTACATCCTTGGAGTGTCACCTAGCTTTTTACTTATCTCAGTTAGACTGATGGCTGCACTCTTGTTTAGAACTTTCATATAGTTTGTAAGCTCTTTGAGTCCTGTACTAGCTTACTACATAGTAGACAGGAATTAAAGGCTTTCTTTATCTTATGTAAAATCATGTTTTTCCTTGCTCTTATGTCTGTTTTATTTTCTCTAGAGCTGTCTAGATTCTGGCAGTTCCCACAGAGGGGTGTGGTGTGGGAAGACCTGGAATTTTCAAACCCTCTTTTGCAATTATTTGTTGTAGCTTCAATTAAATTAATAGTGATAACACCTACTAAGCTTCACAATTCTTAACATGTAATAAAATGTTGTATTAATTTCTTATTATTGCTGTAACAAATTACCATAAACTTAGTGTCTTGAACAACACGGATTTGTTAGCTTACAGTTCTGGAGGTCAGAAGTCCAAAATGAGTCTTATAGGGCTAAAATGAAGATGTTGACAAGGCTGGTTCCTTCTGGAGGCTCTGAAGGGAAAATCAGTTGCCCTTGCCTTTTTTACCTTTCAGAAGCCACCTGCATTCCTTGGGTCTGGTCCCTTCCTCATATTACTCAAGTCTCTTGCTCTCATTGTCACATCTCCTACTGCTAACTCTGATCTTCCTGCTTCCTTCTTATAAGGACCCTTCTGATTACATTAGATGCTCCTGGATAATCCAAGATAACCTCCCCATTTCAAGATTCTTAATTGCATTTGCAAAGTCCCTTTTATACCATGTAAGGTAATACATTCACAAAGTATGGGGGGATAGGACATAAATATATTTGGGAGACCATTATTCAGTCTACTACAAATGGCATTGTAGGGATCTTTTGATTATTGATAGCATAGTGAGTTAAAAGAAGGCCCTTTTGCATTCCATAGTTTTATTCTACCTCCATTGACCCAAGGTTAAAAATTTTTTAATGCTTCCTTGGTTCTTGTATTAGTCCGTTTTGTGTTGCTTATAACAAAATACACGGAACTGGGCAATTATAAAGAAAAATGAAATTTATTGCTTACAGTTTCTAAGGCTGGGAAGTCCAGAGTCCATCTGGTGGTGGTGACAATGACCCAGGGATCTCACATTGCAAGACAATGGAAGCAGAGAGAGCAGAGAGAGAGCAAGAAAGACAGATTCTCCTCTTCTTTTAAAGCCCTCAGAACCATGCCCTTGACCACCATTTTTAATCCATTCACTATGGCAGGGTCCTACAATCCAATCACCTACTTAAGGCTCCACCTTTCAATTACCATAATAGGATTTCCCACCCTCTTAACAGGCACAGTGGGGGCTAAGATTCTAATACATAAACTTGGGGGACACAATTCAAACTTCAGTGAGTTTTGGGACAGCCCACTGCAGTTCTTGATTGTGAATTTAGGACCATTTTGATTTGGTTAAGGAAAATTTCTATGTCCTTTAGTTTTTAAATTGAGAAACCAAAAGTAAAAGCAAAGGATCATTAAAATTGGAAACTCTTGGGCCGGCCCGTGGCTCACTCGGTAGAGTGCGGTGCTGATAACACCAAGGCCACGGGTTCGGATCCTATATAGGGATGGCTGGTTTGCTCACTGGCTGAGCGTGGTGCTGACAACACCAGGCCAAGGGTTGAGATCCCCTTACCGGTCATCCTTTAAAAAAAAAAAAAAAATTGGAAACTCTTACTGAAATATCTGGGTAAGGTAATTTTTAAATGCCTTTCTTTGTTAGTAGTTAAAACATATCCAAGTATTTGCAATAAGAGTGTCTATCTGCAGCTGTGTAGTTACAGACTCCTGGGGGTGCTGGCAGCCAGCCTTGGCCTCTGCCTGTGTTAACACATATACTTTGGCAAGATTTTTAAGTTCATTAATCCAAGTCTGCATTTTTAAAATTTGTTTTCAGAACAAAACAAAGAATAAATAAGCGCCTCTAGTTTTATGGCCTGTTACAATATCTAACGTTATCTTTGTTCATGTATTCTTTCCTCTTACATGCCGTCATTACACAGTTTCCACTCATTGCCTGAACTTCCTTTCTTACACATAAATTAGATAAAATTCTCATTCTCACCTGCTGTCTTCTTTGAACTTAATGGGCCAGTGGGAGAAATGTTTCTAGTTGAAGCCAATTAGAACATGACTAATTTTGGAGAGGGAGGTTGGATGGTTTTGACAGGATGAGGTCAGATAAGTAATGAAATCAACTTTAATGCTAAAATCTAAAAGTGACTTTCAGATTCCTGATCTTTTCAATGGCTTTTTTTGCTAAAGTATTATAAATCTCAGTAAGAAGATAATATGATATATGAAAGAAACATACGAGAGAGAAAATAATTTTTTTGTTCTATTTAAGATATTGTTACGCAGCTCTTCTGTAAAATGGTCATATATGTTACAGTAGCAAATCAACTTGGAACTAATAAAAAGTCAGATTAAAAAATGTAAGAAATTAATGTTTTCCTTATGCCAATGTTTACCTAAGTGATTTAGATTTTTAAAATGTGCATCCTGTTCAGTGTAGAAGATGAATAAATTGTTCTGGGATGTTCGTGTTTACATTAACTTATTTTTACTTTTTATATGAATTAATGTGCATTTGATACTTGATACTATAAAAATCTAGCTATTACAAATGCTCATGCTAATGCTAGCCCTCTTAGAATATGTGTTCCCTGGACATGAGAGGGGTAAACCTTAGTTATAGGTGTTATAAGATTCAACCATCATTCCATAGTTATGGTTTTTTGTGCTTAAGTTCCTGTTTATGAATTTTTATTCTATTTCTATTTCTAGAGAGAACGAAGCCCAGGTGAATAACTTTGTTTTCTTTCTGGTTTGGGGATTTAAAAATTCTTCTTAATGGCAGTAGCAAACCTGTCTTCTTTAGGATTTTTAAAAAGATGTTCCTATCATTAGTAATATAGATAAGCATCGGACATTTTCAGAATAAAAAATTTTATTTCTGAAAGGCAAAGTTACCAAGTCTAGAATTAAGAATGTATGGTGGTTATCTGGAATCTTATCTGTTGTTTAAAAAAGGATCTTTGCTCAGGTGGCATGGAAGAGAAGAGGTGTGAAATGTGACTCCAGCCCTCAAGAATTTATAGTCTATTTGGGCCACAAATGTGTAGATCTTTGAAAAGTTAAATAATACCAAAATTATGCTTTGCTTACATAGTACTTCCCTAAGCATTTTCACATATGTGTTCAACAGCTATTAAATTATACTTTGATACAATAGATGTTATAAGGCACTGGAGATGTGGCATGATTCATAATTACATTAATTGTACAGTCTGATTACCATAGGAGTTCAGAGGATGAAGAAACCCCTTCAGTTTGTAAAATTCCATTAGGTTGTAAATTTTACAGGGACTATAACCATATCCTGTTTATTGCTTCACCCCCACTGTTTAGCACATATCTGTTCTATAGTAAGTATGTAATAACTTTGTTAATCTGAACTTTAGGCAGTGCTGATGAGGACATAATTACCCTATTGAGGACATAACATTTGAAGTGACTCTTAAAGAATGACAGGATCAGTAGGTGTAGAGGAGAGAATTCCAGAGGATCAGTTAGTCAGCAAATGCTAATAATGCACCTGCTTTGGGCAAGCACTGATCTAGGCACTGGGGATACAGGAGCAGATAAAATAGGTCCTTAGAACTCACATTCTGATGGGGGGGGACATAGACAGTAATCACAAACAAATTAGCTCTCGTAATGGCTGTGAAAAAGATGACATCTAGTAACATGATAGAATGGCTTGTGGGAGAGAGACTGCTCTTACCCAGGATGGTCAGAGCTTTCCAAGCAGAAGGAAGCAGAATGCAAAGGCTGGAGAAGAATTTCATATATTCGAGGAGTTGGAGAAAGGCCAGCATGGCTAGAGATAATAAGTAAGAGGGGTGTGGAAGGGGTTGGGGTGAGAGAGATGGCAAGTGCCAGTTGCACATGCCGAGGATGTGGGATTTTACTTTGGGTCTAATGGGAAGGCAAGTTGGAGAAGCATGAACTGCAGTAGAAGACACCTGGCATATTTGCAAAAAAGGTAAAGCTGCTTGGTTGGAGGCAAGGCTT